GTATCAGAATATAGCATATTAAGATGGGTAGTTACAATAAAGTTACAATTTGAAGAAATTTCAATCTCACGGTGTGCTCTAATGCTTAAAAAAATTGTGTGGTATTGAAAACAAACAACCCCAGTGAAATCCTGCATAAAACCCACATGGGTAAGTTGCACGGGGCCAACATGGAACCGGTGGACAAACCCACTTACAACCCATATTTAGATGGGACCCAGATGGGTTTTGCATATCATCCCCACTTGGGCCCCACCTAAAGCCCAGGGAAATCCTGCATAAAACCCACATGGGTAAGTTGCACGGGGCCAACATGGAACCCGTGGACAAACCCACTTACAACCCATATTTAGATGGGACCCAGATGGGTTTTGCATATCATCCCCAGTTGGGCCCCACCTAAAGCCCAGGGAAATCCTGCATAAAACCCACATGGGTATGTTGCATGGGGCCAACATGGAACCCGTGGACAAACCCACTTACAACCCATATTTCAGCCCATGTAGTGACCTTGTAGTACCCACATAAAAAATAAAGCTGGGGCCAAGATGGGTCTTGCGCATGTTGCCCAGTTGGGGCCCACCTTTTGGCAAGTACAATCCCACATGAAATCCATGTGGGGAATTTACATTGGGCCATTATGGAACCCGCGGACAATCCCATTTTGGGCCCACTTTTTCAGCCCATGTCAAACCCACATGGGCCCCACACACAAATGTTGGCTGGGACCTAGTTTGGTTAAAAACCCATCCTCTTTCCAATGCCTCTAACAAATTCTCTGCCAAGCTAGCGCCCAAGTGGGAGGGTTCAGCTGAAATAAAAAGTAAAACAGGGCCAGTAAATTACACTGTGTGCTGGGGCAACCCACCAAAAACAGATGTGATGAATGTGGTTAATTTGAAGTGTTATTATGGATGCTCATCTCCGACGCCGTTGGCTGGGAGGGGATCTATGTAGCACGGCCACATAAGAGGGATATATTTATAAAGCTGTTGATTAAATATTAATTTGATTGTTGATGTGTCACAGCTGTTGTGTTGAACAAAGATTGATGTATCTTTGTTTGTATTGCCCCGTCGAGTGTGGTGGACCCTGTTTCTTCTCGTGAGAGTTAGCTCGCGGCGCACCAGGGAATCCCCGTGACGTCACATCGACCAGATGATTTGACACGTCCGATCAAAGAAGCCGGTTGACAGGTGCTGCATTTCTCATTCCAGAATTTCAGCTTAGGAAGGCTGGAAGAATTACGGATGGTCAATGTGCTGACTTGGATACACTACGATCGATCGTCTCCTACATGCTGCTGTTATGTGCTGTGAGCTTTGTGGAATGGTCAAGTTTGTTGGACTATTTGAGTTGGATTTCCTCACAGGACAGCGCTGTTCCTCAACTTGCTCCCGAACTCTATACCAGTTCACCGGTGAGGCCGAACTGAACCCACACACACCCTGACACACACATACTATTGAACTTTCAAGGACAGTACGCACACACACTCATACATATATTGTATATATCATTTTTTTTTGTCGTCTTGTGAAATACACTCTGGGTTGGCATTTATTATTTTTGGTAGTTATTTTTTGTACCTGCATTCCTTCAACCCCACTATTAATAGGTAAACAGAACAGATTCTATTTGTGTAGCCTGCCTTATTTAGGCTGAGCGTTACAATCTTTCTTCTGATTAAGTATATTCTGCATATAGTAATTCAGTTTAAATGTTCATATTGTGTAACCAATGGTTCACTCAACTATTCAGTTATACAGTGGTTGATTATACAGTGGTACAGTGGTCATTTGCACACGAGATACTGTAATATATTGTGATGTAAAGGAAGAAGGTATTGAGTTAGATGACAGAAATACAGATTGAGTGTAAGAAAACTCTTACAAGAGTTATGCAACACATGTTTATTAGTGTTTGGTTTAAGTGAGTCACATGTAACGGACCCGACAGGCTTGCAGACCTCTAATATGATGTTTCCTCATTTGGCTCTGATTCCAAATGCCTTGTTTCTGTGCAAAGGTTACCCTGTTCTTTCTTATGCCCCCTCCTATAAATAGTACATAAGAACAGGATTACAACCCACATCAGACCTAAACGAGTGATTGATCTGTGCATGTGTATGGTAGATCTGTCTGACTATGGCTTTAATTGAAGCATTACTCTCGCAGGGCTCTGGCACAGGTACAGTATTAGGTGCTCTGCTGTTGTGTTTGGTTATTTACCTGTTCTCCATCCGCTCCAGCTCTCAGGATGAGGGAAAAAAATATCCTCCGGGACCCAAACCGCTGCCACTTCTGGGGAACCTGCACACCCTCAACCTCAAGAAAACCTACATGAGTCTTTGTGAGGTAAGCAAAAATGTTTCAGACAGCTGATTTTATTTTTGATGATTTGATATAGTGTTCTAACTTTTACTAGTAAACAGGCATAGATTTAGATCAAGGCTTTGGATGGATCTCAGGCATTATCCAAAATGAGATTGACAGACAGACGATAGATAGATAGATAGATGCAAGATTAGTCTTTAACAAGCTGAAAAGAATGCATGTCACACCTTTGTTCATCAATTTGCATTGGCTACCAGTAGCTGCTCGCATAAAATTCAAGGCATTAATGTTTGCCTACAAAACCACCACTGGCTCTGCACCCCTTTACCTAAATTCACTACTTCAGACTTATGTGCCCTCTAGAAGCGTGTGTTCTGCAAGTGAACAGCGTATTATTGTGTCATCCCAAAGAGGCACAAAATCCCTTTCACTGACTTTTACATTAACTGTTCCCTCCTGATGGAATGAGTCCTTGGCCCATAGATAGATGCAAGATTAGTCTTTAACAAGCTGAAAAGAATGCATGTCACACCTTTGTTCATCAATTTGCATTGGCTACCAGTAGCTGTTCGCATAAAATTCAAGGCATTAATGTTTGCCTACAAAACCACCACTGGCTCTGCACCCCTTTACCTAAATTCACTACTTCAGACTTATGTGCCCTCTAGAAGCGTGTGTTCTGCAAGTGAACAGCGTATTATTGTGTCATCCCAAAGAGGCACAAAATCCCTTTCACTGACTTTTACATTAACTGTTCCCTCCTGATGGAATGAGTCCTTGGCCATCTTCAAGAAACCGCTAAAAACACATATTTTCCATCTTCATTCGACCCTCTAACTCTAGCACTCTCTATTCTAATTTTAAGAAGAACAAAACAAAAAAAACAACAACTCTTGACTCTCTAACACTTGTACTCTCTATTCTTTTTCGATTCTTACTACTTGTTTTCTTTGTTAAAAAAAAGAGCCTCTAACACTAGTATTTCTATTCTATCTTCTTGTTTTAATTTTATTTATTATAAAAAAGACACTCTAACACTAGCATTCCCTATTCTTTTTATATTCTATCTTCTTGTTTTTCTTTAAAAAAAACCTTGCTATGTGTACTGCATTAGGCTAACCGAGACTTGTCACAGCACTTACATATTATTGCCCTTTTGTTGGTTTTGATTGCTTCTATTGTCCTCATTTATAAGTCACTTTGGATAAAAGCGTCTGCTAAATGAAAAAAGAAATAAAAAATATAGATGGATAGGGTGTTCCCTCTTGTACCTTATTGCTTAAATGGTACACATGCCAAGTAGGTAATCGCTGGCACACATACAGTGTTCAAAAATGACAAATAGGTCACCTAGTTCTCATTCGGACTAGGGTAAGAGTCAATGGTAATGAATGACCATGGAGATGGGCGTCGTGCCAGCAGGCAAATGCACAAAAGTAGAGAGTATTGTGTTAGAAGGTAAGCTGGGAAAAGCTGTCTGAATCCTGTGTTCTAACAATACTTTCTGCTATAAACTGATCAGACAGACCACAGATGACATGATCCCGATAAATTATATATTTCAATAGCGCCATCTATTCTGTTTTACAGCTGTCAAAACAATATGGGTCAGTTTACACAGTGCACTTTGGCCCCAAAAAAGTGGTGATATTGTCAGGATACAAGGCTGTCAAACAGGCACTAGTGAACCTTTCAGAGGAGTTTGGAGAAAGAGATATTACACCCATATTTCATGATTTCAACCAGGGATATGGTAAGAAGGCTTTCACGACTTCAGATGATCATTTAATAAACACCTTGTTTTTCCGTAGATGTAAATGTCAAATTAATTCAGCTCTTTGGAGTAATGGATAAATTATTGCTCTGTAGGGATTGTGTTTTCCAATGGTGAAAACTGGAGGGAAATGAGACGCTTTGCTCTTTCGAACCTGCGAGACTTTGGAATGGGCAAGAAAAGAAGTGAACAGATTATCACTGAAGAAACGCAATATTTAAAACAGGAATTTGAGAAGTTTGAAGGTAAGACTGCAAAACACAAAAACAAGACGATGCTGTGACTGAAACAGATTTGAGTATTAACATCATGTTCACCCATGTGCAGGAAAACCATTTGAAACAACTCTGCTAACGGCCATGGCTGTTTCAAATGTCATCTCTGCCATCATCTACAGCACCAGATTGGAGTATAGCAACACCAAGTTATATCACATGGTCAAACGAGCTTTCGAAAACATGAGGATGACTGGATCTACTTCAGTTCAGGTACCCAGATATTTCTAATGCATTATTTTGTATGTACATTGTTCAATGGCACATTATGCAGTTTTGCTTGTTT